CTCTCAGACTTTCTCCTAAGGTCTGGATCCCTCCAGGAAAGATGCTATCCCCAGGAAGCTGGGGTCTGGCCCCCCCAGGAATGTAAAGGGAGCTGGGTGCAGGAATAGGCCCTGAGGACTCCTGGAGACTAGAGGGAGGAATTGGCTTGGTCTGGATGCAAAGGATCAGGAAGCAGTGTGGAGTCTGGGCCAAGAGGTCAGTCCCAAGGTCTGGAGTGCCAAGACAAGTAATGGGGCAGTGCCCAGGCTAGGAGGAGAGATGAGTTCAGGGAGCTGGGCAGGTGAATGAGGCTTGGGGTGTCAAGGCGCAGTGGCAGTGGGCGCCACCAAACTTACCCAGGAAAGATGCTGGCCCCAGCTTCTTTCTTATTTTCTTTTTATTTTTTATGTGTTATGAGTGTATTCCCTGCATGTGTGTAAGTGCACCCATTTCATGCAATGTCCATGGAGGTCAGATGAGGGCATCAGATCCCCTGGAAATGTAGTTACAGATGGTTGTTAGCCACCATGTGGGTACTGGAAATTGAACCTATGTTCTCTGAAAGAGCAGCCAGTGCTCTTCACCAATTAGCCAGCTCTCCAGTCTTTCCTTCTGTCCTTCCTTCCTTCCTCCCTCCCTCCCATCTTCTCTCTCTCTCTCTCTCTCTCTCTCTCTCTCTCTCTGTCTTTTTGAGGGAGGGTCTCCCTGTAGCCCCATCTGGTCTGAAACTCTCTCTGTAGACCTGGCTGACCTTGCACTCACAGAGATCCATCTGCCTACCTCTGCCTCCCAAGTGTTGGGATTAAAGGCTTGCACTAGGACTCCTGGTCCTTTACAGTTATTGACAGTGCTTATTCAATAAACTTTTTGGGAAGATGCACAATGACACGAAAAGTGAAGAAAATACAGTATACAGATCTTATCTTTAAAAGAATATTAGGAATATTTTTATATAGAATTGACATCTTCAATCCTTTTCATAAAAACTGCCACTCTATGTGTTTTTTAAGCAATAGTTGTGTTTTTGCCTATGCATTGAAATTTCTTCAAAACCTTTTTCTAGTTTGGGTGTGCCCACATGTTTGGATATAATTTTTTTTTTAATGTGGTCAGTGAAATTTCTCATGCTGGGTGTTGTGGTGTGCACCTTTAACCCTAGCCCTTGGGAGGCAAAGGCCAGTGGATCTCTGCAAGTTCAAGGCCAACTTGGTTTGAATCACGACTTATAGTTGGGCTGTGACTAGGGAAACCCTGTCAAAACAAAAAACCAAACAAACATAAAATGTGGCCGGTGAAATGTCTCATCAGGTAAAACCTACCTCCACCAAGCCTGATGACCTGAGTTAAATTCCTGAAACCCCCATGGTGTGAGGAAAGAAATGACTTCTGAAAGTTATCCTCTGACCTTCAGGCATACTGTGGGACATGCACATGTGCATGCACGTGCGTGTGCACTCACACAGACTAAATAAAAAGATCAATAATTTAATACAATTAAAATATTATTGTATGCTTATGTGCATGTGTATGTATATGTGTTTGTGTATGTGTGTGTGTGTATGTGTGTGTGTGTGTTCAATATAGAACTGGATCATCAGGGGACCAGATGTTCCATAGTCAGAAGTCCTATATTGTGCCAGTTTCCTTCATTCCAGACCCTGAAGATGTAAAAATGGAGTAGGGATGTATTTCTTTCTCTGGCTACTTCCTGATGTCTTATGGGTAGAGTGGGTGGGGTTTTTGGGCTCCAAGGCAAGGATCTGGTTCTGGGTCTTATGGAGTGTAGCAACAGCATGACCTGGACTTGGTCTTGGGCGGAGTTCTAGATGAAAGTGTTCTGGTATTTCTGAAAGAATCTTTGGAGACAGTTGATTAAGCATAGTATAGTGGTAATATAGAGTAATAGTGGACTTGTTTCCCTTGGCTACAGTAGGCACTGCATCGAATTAGGCCAAGATGTCTTATACTTATGTAGTATTTTTGTTAGTAATAAAATTATTAGTGAGAAATAAGTGCCTAAATAATATTTTATATAAACTTAAGTCTAATGTCTGGAAAGTGTGATTTCTTGGACTCTCAAAGAAACATGTTGATTACTTTAATCTTTGGGTATATTTTCCTTTTGGGTGTTTAAGACCTTACATTTGACCTAAATTAACCAAGTGCTTTGATTTTTTCAAGACCAGTTGAAGATTTGATCCTCAGGGGTCATCTGGGCTTTGGGATCAGCCTCTGGGACTTTTGGCTTTCCTTTTACAAGTTCCGTCTGTGTGAGGATAAGTCAGAAGGTCCTGCTCAACTGTGCCTTCACTTGAAAGCATGGAGGAATCATTTCTCTGTGTTGACCTTCCTATTTGTAGACTGGACACTGGTTTTAATCCCTTTAGTGGGGTCTCCATGATCTCCATGAACAAGAGGACAGGTGACCCATCACAGTTACATGACATTTTAAGAGATGCCCCATAGTCCCCTAGCACTTAGTTGACCTTGGAGGACAAGGAACAAAAATTGTCCCTTTAAGTCCCTTTGATCAGATTAGTATAGGTCTTTAAGTATGGCTATTAAACAACCAAGAAGGTCAGTTACACTAGTCTGTACTTTTAATTACTTGTGTAGAAAAAAAACATTTTTTTAAATAAACCTTTACTGGACATATATTTTGTTTCTTAAGTTAGCTTTTTTTTTGTCTTATTGAAGCAGGGTCTCCCTGTAGCCCCAGCTGGCCTGGAACTCACTATGTAGACCAGGCTGGCCTTGAACTCACAGAGATCCGTCTGCCTCTGCCTCCCAAGTGCTGGAACTACAGGCATGTGCCACCACACCTGGCTTTTAAGTTAGCTTTTATAAGAATTGGTTTAAGTAAAGGTTTAAGTAAAGGTTTAGCTGAACTGGGCTGGAGAGATGGCTCAGCAGTTAAGAACACTGGTTGTTCTTGCAGAAGACCTGGGTTCAAATCCCAACACCCACATGGCAGCTAACAACTGTCTGTAACTCCAGTTCCAGGGGATCTGTCAGTCTCTTCTGTCCTCTAGGGGCATTGCACGACACGGGTACACTTACCTACACACAGGCAATACACGCATACACATAAAATAAAAATAATAAATAAAATATTTTTTTTAAAAAAGGTTTAACTGAACTAAGTTAGAGAAAGAAGGGGTTTAACATCACAGGTCAAGTAGGCATAGCCCAGGAATGGGATTTCAAAACAATTTTTTAAGGTCTGAAATAAATGAAGGCTGTTCTACTACAAACAGTAGTCTCTTTTCTTTTACAGTCCTCCCATACCCTGATTTATAGTTTTTCAGAAGGAAGAGAGGATCACATTGCATAACTATAGACAGGAAACAAGTCAGTCAGGATCTACCAAAACTGTTTTTTGTTTGTTTGTTTTTTGTTTTGGTCTTTTTTTGAGGTGGGGTCTCCCTGTAGCACCAGCTGTTCTGAACTCACTATGTAGACCAGGCTGGCCTATGAGATCTGCCTGCCTCTGCCTCCCAAGTGCTGGGATTAAAGGCATGCACTACCATGCCTGGTGGTTTTTTTTGTTGTTGTTGTTGTTTTAAACTGTACCAATCTGGTACAGGGAAGCAAAACCTAGCTCCTCTTGAGCCAAAGTATTTTGTTAGGGGAAGAAAAAAGCACCCTGTGTCCTAATGACAACCTAAAACACATTTCATAAGTTTTGTACCCTTTGTTGTTGGACTGAAGGAAAAAAAAAGAAACCCCAAAGTAACATTTGCTTAACATAGGGAAACATAAAGGACATTTGCTAGTAGCCACATGTAATTCTAATACTTGTCTGTATCTATTAAACCTGTGGCTGGAACTGGGTGTGTAGTACAAGCCAGAAAAGTAGACTGAAAGTTTTGGGCTACAATAGCAATTATGATAATAACAACCTTGTATCTTTATAATCTTGCTCAGACCTTCAATAAACTTGCTCAAACATTTTCCTTATCTCTTCTATTCTGGAAATATCCAGCCATCTTAATTTTATAGATAATTTTTTAAAATTAAAACTTTTATTTTATATTCTTTTATTAATCTTTTGACTTCCTTTCTTAATACCATGAGACATAATAGCATTTACAAACAAATTTGCAAACAAATTTACAATTTGTTGTGAGAATTTTTAAGCAATTACTATATATACATATATATACACACAGGGATGGAGAATTATCTCAAATATACTATTATAATGTATAAATTTTGAGATGTCCTTGTAAGCATTGAAACAGGTTTTAAATGACCAATTTTCTTTTATTTTTAAAAATGTCTAGAGATGTTTTTACATAGACTTGGCAAAGATATGGACCTTGACAAACCTGTTTGTTGGCTTTAGAAAGGCAATAGTGGTAAAATGTTTATTTTATATAAAATGTATCTTGGATCAGAAGTAATCATCACTTAAAATTAACATATATATTAATATATATATATTGGTCTTATTGAAACAGGGTCTCCCTGTAGCCCCAGCTGGCTTGAAACTTGATATGTAGACCAGACTGACCTCAAACTCACTGAGATCTGCCTGCCTCTGATGGGATTAAAGGCATGTGCCACCATTCCTGGTCCCAATTTAAGTTATATCTTTAAGTAATAGGAACTATGTTGTAGAACAAGAACTAAGATAAGGATCAAAGAGATAATACATTGACCCAAAAATATTTTTGGGTTAATTTAACAATTTTCATTTACATGAGAACGAAAATTTTGCAATTACTTTTTGTTGAGATTATGTTTTTTATTTTTAATCCAAAATACTTTTAAAACAAACAAATAAATTGAATACCTTAAAACATCTTGAAAGCAAACTAGGACCGAAAAAAGGTATTTAACAAAGGATCCTTACAACAACTGGCTCAGATGCTGTTTTGTGTAAGAACTTAGCATTTAAAAGTTTTGTGAAACACTTAATAGACCTAGAAACATTGTTTAATAGATTTAAAAATGATTAGGGTACCCAAGTTTACAAGACCTTTGAATGTATGATAATACAACATACTCATACCTTAAGCCTATACTTTCAGGGATCATTTCTATAGTTTGTTACTAGAGAAGTTTCTCTAGTACCAGAAATCATGAGGAGGAGGTGCAGTGTTCTCTCCTGTGCATGAAGCTGGCTTGGGTGCTGCTTTTAGGCAGCTGCCTTTGCCATTGATGATCGTTCTGCTCTGCCTCTGGTAGAGTTAAAGGGAGAGAACACAGTCTGAGTGGTTCATCTAAAAGAAAAAAAGAAAAACAAAATACTCATATTTTTAAATTTGTACATGTGTATTTTAATGAGGCAGATCAAAAATAAAACCAATAAGTTTGTGCAGAATAAAAAGAATGAGAAGGGAAGAAACTGAAGTGTTTACAGTTTAAAAATCATTTTGACATAAATAATATGAAGACAATTATCATAGACATACATGACATAATCATGTTAGATTTCAAACATGAAAATACTTGTCATGCACATAGATGACACTATTACATGAAATCTTAAACAATATATGAAAACAATGAGTATAGACATGCATAAGTACATGAAAACTAGGTGCACCCAAAACATGATAATCAACAAGTTTGACGAGGATTTTTGTATGTAGGCACAGCTGAGGTCATGAAGAAGGCAGTTTTTTGACCAAGAAGAGAGTGCTAAGTGACTATTACCTGTGTATACATTGGGGCTTTGTAGGTTTTTGGGTGAACTTAATAGAAAACATACTTTTACAGAGTGTAGGTTTTGAAGGCGTGCAGACCGCAGATAGAGAAACCTTATCAAATTGATGGTTACGATAAATTTCATGATGATGACAAGGCAAGGATGAAGAGGTGGTCTGGAGATCCCCAGGCAGAGTGGGAACCAAAGTGGAGAAGAAGTTCCTCAGGAGAGAGGAAACCTGAAAATAAACTTGGAGCAAGTGGAAAAACCTCAAACAGTTCCTTTTAAAAGCCAACAAACAGCTGAGTGAAATGAAACTATAAAAGAAGGAGTAAATAAAGAGAGGGGGAACATCTGAAATGTAAGAAGTGAAACACATAGTCAGGACCTTCTGTCCTGGTTTGTTTCTTCACTGCTGTGACAAAACACTCTGACCAATACCAACTTGGGGAGGAAAGGGTTTATTCAGCTTACATCTCCAAGGTTGCAGTTATCCGGGAGCCCAAGGTAGGAACTCAGGGCGGAAACCTGGAGGCAGGAGCTGGAGCACAGGCCATGGAGGAACTCTGCTTACTGGCTTGCTCCCCTGGCCTCTGCTCAGCCTGCTTTCTTAAGCAACACAGGCCCACCTGCCCAGGGGTGGCACCACCCACAGTGGGCTGGGCCCTCCCACATCACTAATCAAGAAGATGCCCCTCAGACAAGGCCACAGGCCAGTCCAATAAAGGAAATTCCCCAATTGAGGCTCCGTCAGCCCAGGTGTGTCAAGTTGACACTAAAGCTATTCAGCACACCTTCCTTTGAGTTATCGGCCAGGGTGGCCCAAGAGACTCCCAGACAGTAACCTAGGAGAGAAATGAGAAAATGAACAGCAGACCCTGATCTTATCTAAAGGAATATTGGCAACTGATTTCTGCTAGATAAGGAGGAGTTGATCTTTCTAAAACAAGGAACTCTATATAGGCTGACTAGACTCAGCAGATGGACAAGCACTAGTAAATGGCTGGGGGTGCCAACAGTGGACAGTAACAGGGATGACAGAGTATATGGGCTTCAGGGGGTGGCGGCTGTGGGAGGGTGCCATTTGGGATGCAGGAATAAAGATGAATAAGATTGGGATGTTCTGTATGAAACACAAAAAAAATCTACAAATAAAAGTAATATTTAAAAAAAAGAGTGCAGGCCTGGGAGAGAAGCCCTAGAGCTGTGCAGGGTGGAAGAACGCCTAGAAAGCAGGAGGCCAGAGCTGGACTGTGGCTTGCCAGCACTGAAAGGAACAAAGCAGCAGGGGCGGAGCAGGAATGAGAACTTTGGCTTGGCAAGACGTGTTAGGGTAGCTGTGATAGGGAAAGCAAAGGCAGGCTGGCCAAAGAGAAAGGCGAACATCAAACAGCTTACCATTCCATTTGAGGAAGTCCGCGAAGTCTAGTAGGATATTGAAACTGAACGTTTTGAATTTGGCCCAGTGGAGGCCAGATTTGGACCAAAAGCCCAGTAAGGACGGCTGGTCTGAGGTCTCCCTAGTGGAGCTCTTTTAGATTGGCCCGGAGACAGGCTAAAGGTGTGTCCTTTGAAATGGACAATTTGGAGCTCATGGGGGTTTTGGGAGCAAGGCAAAAATGGAACAGAGGTCAAATCCAGCCCCCTCCCCCAGGCATCTCTCCAGGTACGGACTGAACAAAATGTGCCTGGGTCTAGAAGTGAGCGTCCCCTGCCTCAGACTCCAGGAAGGCTGAAAGAAAAGGGTCCAGTGGGAAACTCTCTGAAATTCCAAGCCACCAAGGATTAGGACTAATGAAAGAGCAGAGAACTCGCGTAGTTCCCAAGACCTGATAAGGCCATCCGCGTCAGGTCCAACAGATTACCCTGTCCCAGCGTGATGGGTGCAAGGAAGAGGCAAATGGTGAACAACCTGAAGTCTTGAGGTCAGAGGGTCTGAGAAGAAGGGAGAGCAGGAAGAAAGAGAGAGAGGAGGGTGAAGGACCATTCTAGTTTCTTCCCAAGAGCCTGAGCTGGGTTTACACAGAACAGAATAGAACGGTAAGAAAGTCAAGGAGGTCCCAGGAGGAGGGTCAGGAGCCACAAGTGGGGACTCCAAAACCCCTCCAGGTTTTGGCATCAAGTGTTAGATTTTGGAAGCGCAGAATACAGGAACAATAGGAGAGAAAGAAAGTGACCCCGGACTGTATTTAGCACAGTGAGGGGCAGCAACCTTCCAACTGGATGAGACAACTGCAAGAGGCATGGGACTGGTCAGAGTCTTATGTTGGGGCAGCAGCTACAAGGGTAGTTTTGGGGGACAGCTACTGCAGGGGAATCAGGAGCTGCAAGGGAGAATTATTTTTGGCCATTTTTATGTTTTTTTTCTCTTGGGACTGGTTCATGTGGCCCATTTGGATAACCAGGAAAGGGGAAGAAGACTCCAATATAGAACCGGGTGGTCAAGAAACCAGATTTTCTGTGGTCAAGGGTCCTATGTTGTGCCAATTTCCTTGAAAAATAATAAAATATTTTTAAAAATCACTTGATGACGCCGGGTGTGGTGGTACATGCCTGTAATCCCAGCACTTGGGAGGCAGAGGCAGGCGGATCTCTGTGAGTTCGAGGCTACCCTGGTCTACAAAGTGAGTTCCAGGCCAGCTGGGGCTACAGGGAGACCCTGTCTCAAAAAGACAAAAAAAAAATCACTTGGTGGGACTGGAGGGATGGCTCAGCAGTACAGAGCACTGGATGCTCTTACAGAAGACCTGGGCTCAGTTCCCAGTGCTCAAATATCAGTTAACAACCATCAGCAGCTCCAGTTCAGGGGCTCTGATGCCCTCTTCTGGGCTTCAGGCATTGCATACTCCCAGTGCACTTACTTCCATGCAGGCTAAATACTCATATGCATACAATAAAAATAAGTCACAAAAATTAAAAAAGAAAATATCACTTGGCATTCTCAATATCTCTTTGTCTTTGTCTCTGTATCATTCCTCTCTCTCTCTCTCTCTCTCTCTCTCTCTCTGGCTTTTGCTCTCTGTCTCTCTCTTTCTCTATCCTCTTGTCTCTACCTCCCAGTGTTGGATGTAGAACTTTAACTACCATGCTCAGTTATGTGCTTTCTTAGTATAGTATCCTGTTACTACATCTTATTAATGTGCCCTTAATGTTCCTACCTATAAATCAGAGACAATATAGTATCATTAATCTCCTCTGAGGACAATCAAATATGTGAAAGCTTATACCACGCACAACACAGGAATACTCCTAAGTCTGAAAACACAAAAAGATATAATAGCTGAATATTCCTATTGGTGAGCAAAGACCCAGATCAACAAGGACATGAGGGTTGACATAGAAAGAAAGATCTCCTGGGATCTATTTCAGTCACAGTGGTCTTATTCCTAATGTCTTTACATTTTGACCCAAGAGTTTCCCCTAAACTTGATGCTGTTCGTTGCCCTCATTGTTTAGTGCAAAGGGGCCAAGGGCATAGATGGGGAATTGTTCTCTTCTTGTCGTTAATGAGGCTCTAAGGAAATCTGGTCCCAGTGACCAAAGAGGCTCCTGTAAATGCCTGTTCTGTGATTGTCCAAAACATCTTTCCTGCTCAGTTCAAGACTCCAAACACTTGCTCCTTACCTGCTCATGACCTGCCCATGTTACAAAGTCATTACACTCCTGAGAAAAGCCCTGTCCAGTTAGGTCAAGATGGACAGCAGTGGACAGCACCAACCTCCCCAGGTAAAGTTATAGCAGTAGAGACACAAACATTTGTTCATTCAGAGGTGAAATTCTTTAGGAACTTACTTTTCAACTTCTTCCAGAGACAAGAAGTCATGATAAGAGCCCAGAATTTATTTGTTGTCACTTGAGAATAAACTTATTACTAACCAACAATTTGTTCTTTCTTCCTGTCACTAAGGAGTTGGACAAGTCTAAGGTGGAAGGAAAAGTGAGCAACATAAGTAGAGATACAGCTAGTTTTAGAGACAGTGTGTTTTCTGGTTCATTATAAACAATAGGACTCAGGGATTCATATAGGAAGAACATCAAAGTCAAGTATTAGAAAGTAAATGTGTGGGTGAGGTGGGCATATTCAGTGCTACCAACTCTATGAACTGATTTGTAAACTTCGTCCTGCCTAGAGCCTATCACATCCTGACCACCCCCATCTAGGTTTTGAATTAATTCTCTTCTATTCACGTGGGCTCAGACCAGAAGAAAAATGAACCAGTCGCTTGTCTCTGAGTTCCTCCTCCTGGGACTCTCCTGGCAGCCCCAGCAGCAGCAGCCCCTCTTCCTGCTCTTCCTCATCATGTACCTGGCCACCGTTCTGGGAAACCTGCTCATCATCCTGGCCATCGGCACTGAGTCCCGCCCGCACACCCCCATGTACTTCCTCTGTAACCTGTCCTTTGTGGATGTCTGCTTCTCCTCCACCACTGTCCCCAAGGTGCTGGCCAACCACTTACTTGGGAGTCAGGCCATCTCCGTCTCTGGGTGTCTCACACAGATGTATTTTCTCTGTTTGTTTGCCGACATGGATAATTTCCTCTTAGCTGTGATGGCCTATGATCGCTTTGTGGCCATATGCCACCCCTTACACTATACCGCAAAGATGACTCACCAGCTCTGTATCCTGCTAGTGACTGGATCTTGGGTCATTATAAACCTGAATTCTCTTTTGCACACTCTGCTCATGGCTCGACTCTCATTCTGTGCAGACAATGTCATCCCCCACTTCGTCTGTGATGTGAGCCCCCTCCTGAAACTGTCGTGCTCAGACACACACCTTAATGAGATGATGATTCTCACGGTGGGATCCCTGATCACATTTATCCCATTTGTCTGCATCCTGGTCTCCTACATTCAGATCACCTGTGCTGTCCTGCGAGTCCCATCCACAAGGGGAAGATGGAAAGCCTTCTCCACCTGTGGCTCCCACCTGACTGTGGTCTCCCTCTTCTATGGCACCATCATCGCTGTGTATTTCAATCCCTCATCCTCTCACTCTGCTACCCCCATGTACTTCTTCCTCTGCAACCTGTCCTTTGTGGATGTCTGCTTCTCCTCCACCACTGTCCCCAAGGTGCTGGCCAACCATGTGCTTGGGAGTCAGTCCATCTCCTACCCTGGGTGTCTCACACAGATGTATTTTCTCTTTGAGCTTGCCGACATGGATAATTTCCTGCTGGCTGTCATGGCCTATGACCGCTTTGTGGCCATATGCCACCCCTTATATTACACAACAAAGATGACCCATCAGCTCTGTGCCCAGCTGGTGGCTGGATCATGGATAGTGGTCAGTCTCCATGCTCTCCTGCACACCTTGCTGATGGCTTAACTCTCATTCTGTGCAGACAATGTCATCCTCCACTTTGTCTGTGATATGAGCCCCCTCCTGAAGCTCTCCTGCTCAGATACATACCTCAATGAGATGATGATTCTCACAGAAGGGTCCCTGATCTTATTCATTCCATTTTCCTGCATCCTGGCCTCCTACATTCAGATCACCTGTGGTGTCCTGAGAGTCCCATCTCCAAGGGGAAGATGGAAAGCCTTCTCCACCTGTGGCTCCCACCTGGCTGTGATCTCCCTCTTCAATGGCACCACCATCACTGTGTATTTCAATCCCTCATCCTCTCACTCTGCTGAGAAGTCCACAGCAGCTGCTGTGATATACACAGTGGTGACCCCCATGCTGAACCCTTTCATCTACAGCCTGAGGAACAGGGACTTGAAGAGGGCTCTATGGAAAGGGTTTCTGAAGAAACACATTTTCTGTCTGATAGAATCCATACCAATTCTTGTTTCCAGGAAATGATTTTCACTCATTAAGATTTAGCAAATGTTACATTATGTTCAAGGTGTCAGTTCCTGGGAAACCTAAAAGACAAGTCTTACTCTTGCATTAGTGGATTCTCATTCAGTTTCCCAGTGAATCTATCAACTAATGGAATTTTGTTTTTGTGGTTCTGAAAATTGTACCAGGGCATGGCATATGCTGGGTAAGTGTACTCTATCACTGAAATATGTGTCAGCTATTGGAATTTCTTTTGAAGTATTAATTTAAAAATTATTTTGATGTTTTGGTTGTTTGCTTTAGCCTTTAGTGACTGTGTTCTTGCTCCAGCACTAATTTTGGAATCATTTAATTTTGAAGTCAAGTTGTTTCTTTTGAGTGTTCTCTTTGAAAGATATGTGCTACATATGTATTTGAATACTGTCACCATGTAGATTATTTTTGTTTTTACAATAAACTAGCTCTGGGGCTGGAGAGATGACCCAGTGGTTAAGAGCACTGACTGCACTTGCAGAGGACCCAGGTTCAATTCCCAGCACCCACATGGTGGCTATGAACTGTCCATAACTCTAGTTCCAGGGGAATCCGAAGCCCTCTTCTGACCTCTGCAGCATTGCACGACATGGGTGCACTCACATACATGCAGGCAATACACTCATACACTAAAAATAATAAATATTTTTTGCAAGTACTTTTA